TGGGAGTCTGAGATTTCGGTGATTTTCTGGCATTTTTGGAATTTCTGGAATTTCCGGGTTGTTATATGAAGTTCTGGAATTGCTGAGATCCTGGAGTTCCTGGAATGTCTGGCATGCCTAGATTTTTTGGGTATCTATAGAACTTCTAGAATTTCTGGGATTTGTGGAGTATCTGGAATTTCTGAAATTTCTGAAATTATTGTGTCGTTCTATAAATCTATAAAATTTTGAAATTTATCCGATTCCGGAATTTCTGGGATTTGTAAATTCTGGAATGTCTGGAATTTCTGGAATTTCTGGGATTTCTGGGATGTCTGGAATTTCTAGAATTTCTTGGATTTTTTGAATACCTGGAATTTCTTAAATTGTGTCAAGTGGTGGATTTTATGGAATTTTTGAAATGTCCGGAATCTTGGGAATTTCTGGAATTTCTGGAATTCCTGGGTTTCTGGATTTGTGGAATATTTGGGATTTCTGGAATTTTGAAGTTTCTGGAATTTCTGGGGTTTCTGGAATTTCTGGAATTTCTAAAATTTGTGAAATGTTTGGAATTTCTGTGATTTGTGGCATTCTTGGCATTGCTGGAATTCCTGGGTTTCTGGATTTGTGGCATATCTGGAATTTCTGGAATTTCTGGAATTTTTGGAATTGCTGGAAATCCTGGGTTTCTGGATTTCTGGAATATCTGGAATGTCTGGTTTTTTTTGTGATTTATGGATTTTTTTGTGATTTTTGGAATGTCTGGAATCTCTGGAATTTTTTGGAATTTCGGGATTTCTGGAATTTCTTGAATTTCTGGAATTCCTGTGGAATTTCTGGAATTCATGGGTTTCTGGAATTTCTGGAATTTCTGGATTTCTGAAGGTCTGCCATCTTGTATTAGTAATAAGCATACTAGAGGTTTGAGGAATTCCAGAAATTCCAAATTCCAGAAATTCAAAAAATTTCACAAATTCCAGAAATTCCAGAAATTCCAAAAATTCAACAAATTCTTTTGGAATTCCAGAAATTCCAGAAATTCCAAAAATTTCTGGGATTTGTTGAATTTTTGAAATTTCAGAATTTCAGAAATTCTGGAATGTCTGGAATTTCTGGATTTTCTATGATTTCTGGGGTGTCTGGAATTTTTAGAATTCCTGGGATTTTTTGGAATATCTGGAATTCTTTAAATTGTGTCAATGTGTGGATTTTATGGAATGTTTGAGATGTCTGGAATCTTGGGAATTTCTTGAATTTCTGGAATTCCTGGGTTTCTGGATTTATGGAATATTTCGGATTTCTGGAATTTTTGGAATTTCTGGAATTTCTGGGGTTTCTGGAATTTCTGGAATTTCTAAAAATTTGTGAAATGTTTGGAATTTCTGAGATTTTTGGCATTCGTGGCATTGCTGGAATTCCTGGGTTTTTGGATTTCTGGAATATTTGTGGAATTTCTGGAATTCCGTGAATTTTTTGAATTTTTGGAATTTCTGGAATTTTTGGAATTGCTGGAATTCCTGGGTTTCTGGATTTCTGGAAGATCTGGAATTTCTGGTTTTTTGAATTTGTGGAATTTTGGGGATTTTTTGAATTTCTGGAATTTCTGGAATTTTTGGAATTTCTGGAATTTCTGGATTTCTGAAATGTCTTGAATTTCTGGAATTCCTGTGGAATTTCTGGAATTCCTGGGTTTCTGGAATTTCTGGAACTTCTGGAATTTCTGGATTTCTGAAGGTCTGCCATCTTATACTAGTTAGAAGGATACCAGAGGTTTGATAAATTCCAGAAATTCCAAAAATTCCAAAAATTCCAGAAATTCCAATAATATTCCAGACATTCCACAGGAATTCCAGAAATTCCAGAAATTCCAGAAATCCAAAAAAATACAGAAATTCCTCAGGATAGCGGCGCCGGCCGTGACCTGCAATGCAGCTTTGGGTGTTCTCGAGCCCGTCTGGGAGGTAGCGTGTGATAGCTAGGAGGTCATCAAGCCAGGTGGGAGGCCGTCTTGGAGGCCCTTGAGCCAGCGTCGCCTTTCTATGGGGCAGCAGGCCATCTTGGTTGGAGGCCATGTCGGAGGCGTGCGCCACTCTGCAATCCGTAACAAATGTCGGCCCGAACTTAGAGCCGGACGGAGCGGAGCCCGCGCAGAGCTCCAATTGTTCCGCACATCTCGCCCAGACTGGGTTCTGAGACGTCATCCTCGACGCCACCATCGACGCCGCCAGCATAGGCATTTTGGTCTCCAGCCTGGCCGTCCACGCCTTCGGCCACGCTCACAGCCGTCGAAAGCCCACAACAAACAACACAACCACCACCAACGAACAAACACCAACGGCTAACAACTAACAACACACTGCAACAACACAATTCAATAACACCAACAAACTGAACAACAACAAACAACCAACAACCAACACCACACCGCACAAACAAACACAACAACAATCAGATACTACCAGCATCAACAAGCACAAGCACAACGACAACTCATACCACCAAGACACATCACACATTAATCCACACACACACAACCACGTAAACCAACACTGACAACGCACACAAACAACGACGCAATACAGAACATAACCGCGATAGCAACCGACGACCGTAACACCAACGTGAGGACCAACAACACCCACAACAACTGCCTGCGAACCACATACGCTCAAACCAAACCCAAACACCATCGATCGACAACAGCATGCAACAACAACAACCAGGCAACATTACCAAACTTACAACAACACTAACCAACAACAACAACAACCGAACACACATACACACATTACATAACTCGCAAAGACTAAAGAGCAAGCACGAAACATCAGAAACACGACAGCAGACAACGTGGCGGGCATCGATGATAGATGGGCTGGTTGGGATACTTGACAGGTCGCGCCCCACCTATGTTTCATAGGGGTGACGCTTGCTCGTGTCGTGCAACTATTCGGTGTGCTGCGTATGTTTTATTGATGTGATCTTTTCACGCTCTGATGAATTTTGCGCTTCTACTTTCAGAATCACGTTTACCCAAAACAAAGTTCAATCGATAAGTGGGGCCCATCAACCCATACCGCAACTCCCCAGACCTCTCTGGGCTGCGTCCTGACCAGGATTCTAAGGCATCTCCAACCTTTGCGACGAGGGCCTCCCAGGAGCGAGGAGGCCCAGAAAGGCAAGACCGAGGGACAGCTATATGTACTTACATACATTGTATATGTGTATCGGTGTCGTCCTGTTTTCTCCTATGGATTTTGGTGATTGTTCGTGATTGCCCATTCGCTTCCTCTCTCGATCACTCGACGTCGGACCGAAGGACAGACCAACGCGATCGGTCGAACAGACGATCTCACGGCTCAAAGAGCGTGCCTTCCCGTGAGCACCCGCTGAGGATTCTCCACACATGCAAAAAACCTGCACGGATTGTCCAACAATATTCACTGTGAACTTCTCCGCTCGCTAGGATCACGGTCTCTTAATTCAATCCCGCTGGCGCGCACACATTGACACCCGCATAATTTCAGTAACACATGGCGGCATCAGCTTGCGTCTTCCCAGAGCACAACAAGACCCACAAAACACCCAGCCATTCCCTTACCGGTTCGTGATGCTCTTCCGGTGTTGTCACGTTTCCCTGGATAGAGCGGCACAACGTCTTGAAAACGATCATGTCGTGTTGGTTTGGCGAGGGTGCCAGGACTTCATCACGTATGCGCAATTTCTCAAGGCCCATGAGTTGGCACGATTTGAACTGACATGGACGCTCCTTTCGAATTGTTGTCTGCATCGGCGCATCGCGTGTCCGCTTCGAGACGTCCCACCAGCCCTCTAGGGTGCGAGTGGTTTAGAGCACTTCCTCTTCCGAATCCCCTTCTTCCCCTTCGGGGAAGGGTTTACCCCTCCCCCATAAGTCCCTCCCCCTGGACCTGGACGGGGCCTTTCGCAAGGTCTTCTTCTTGGCCACACTGGGCCTCCCTGGGGGTGGGGGGCTAATTGAGTACGGCCCGTCCTTTGAGTAATCTCCTTCAAGAGGGCCCCCGAGGCTCCCTAGGGTGCGCCTAGACGTGCCCTCTGCCCAGGAGGCCCCCACGAGGCCCCCAAGATGCCCACAAGAGGCTCTCAAGAGACCCCCAAGACACCCCAAGAGGCCTCGGCGAAAAGACCCAACTCATTGATGTCTTCAAGGGTCTGGCTACATGTGGGCCTCCTGGGAGGGGGCCTAAGTAAGGAGCCTCGCTACTTTGATCGATCTCCTCTAAGGTGGCCCCAAAATGGCCCCCGAGGCTCCCACGGCTGCCCCAAGACGGCCCGAAGAGGTGCACAGGAGGCCCAAAGACACCCCAAGATGCCCCGAAGAGGCTCCCAAGAGACCCCCAAGAGGCCCCAAGATGCCCCGAAGATGCTCCCGAAACGCTCCCAGAGGCCTCGGCGACAAGGCCAAAATCAGAGATTGTACTAAGGTGTTGGGTACATTGAGCCTCCCCGGGAGGCGCTGCTGCGGGATGTCGGGGCCTAGAGGGGCTTCCTCGGCTCTCCTCGGTGCCTCCCTCGTGGAGGCTGCCGTGCGGGCCGCGGTGGCTGCTGGGGCGCCGCGGCGCACTGTCGCTGCCGTCGCTCGGTCGGCTGTCTCCGCCACGCTCTTCGCGTGCGGGGACAAGCCGACGGCGGCGGCCGAGCCTGGTGCTGCTGCTGCCCTCGACGCAGACGCGCCTCCTGCCACCTCGCCCGCCGCGTCTGCGGCGAAGGCGGAGCGGCGGAGGCGCCGACGTCGTCGTCTCGCCGCGGGTCGCGCCGCGGCTGCGCCCCCTGCTGCTGGTGCGGCTGGTGCTGGCGCGGTGGCTGGAGACGACGACGACGACAACGACATGGTCGAGGAGGATGACTCGTGGGCTGACGGCGGGCGCCCTGCCGCGCAGTCGGCCACTGTCCCTCCTCCCTGCCGTGCGGGTGGAGCGGAGTGCGGTGATGCTGCTGCTGCTGGGGCGGCCCCTGCCGCTGCTAAGGGAGGCGGCCGCGGCCTTGCCGTGGCTGCTGGCCCCGAGGCGGCGGAGCAGTGCGCCCTCTCCGCCGAGGAGCGTGCTGTGATGGCGCGCCTCCTCCGCCTGCCCGAGGACACGCCCGCGGAGGAGCTCCTGGTGGCGAGCCGGGCCATGGCCCTTTCCGGTGCCGCTGGCGGCGAGGGCGGCTCCCCCGCTGCCCACGGAGTCCCTCTTCGGCCCGCCCCTCATGGACGTGTTCGCGGTCGGGGGTGGTAGCGGCACCCCCGTTGTCTATAGCCGCTATAGGTTGGGCTTCGTCGCGGTGCTCGTCGTGGTCCCCTGTAGCGGGCCTGCTGCTTCGCTCTCAGTTGCAGGCGGCTGTTCCTCCTATAGGAGGAACAGCCGCCTGCAACTGAGAGCTGCTCTATAGAGAGATCTCCGAGCAGCGTAGAGCCCCCCCCAAAAAGAACTCAAGTAAAGAGACCCCCTCCTTTGATCGATCTGTTCCAAGATGAAGCTCCCAAGAGTGCCCCAAGCCAGCCCCAAGAGGTGCCCAGGAGGCCCCAAGAGGCCCCCCCGACGATGCCCCCAAGAGGCTCCCAGAAGGTTCCCAAGAGACCCCCATGAGGCTCAGAGACTTCTCCGAGAGGCACCCAACACGCCTCAAGAGGCCCCCGGGACTGCCAAGAGACCCCCGAGACGCCCCAAGAGGACTCCAGGAAACTCCCGAAAGAAATCCAACGATACTCCGAGAGGCATCCAAGAGACCTCTGGCCTTTCTCCTCGCCCTCCTCCTCCTCCTCCTCTTCCTCCTCCTCGTCCTTCTCCTCCTCTCCCGCATCCGCCTGCTGCTCCTCCCTCCTCCCTCCACAATTACTCAAAATGAATACTACTCTCCCTCTTCCCCTGATGACGGCCTGAGAATGTCCGACCCCCCCCCCCCCGCGTACTGTTTTTTACACACAGGTTTCCCCGGAGTTGGGTTTTCGCCTGCATTTTTCTTCAAAATGCTGCTCTCGCTGAGGCGCCGGCCTCATTTTCGGGCCCCGCTCATTTCGAATCGTGCTCCCGCTGCAGCGCTGGCCTCATTTCCGTGCTTCCGCTCGTTCCGAATCGTGCTCCCGCTGCAGCGCTGGCCTCATTTCCGCGCTGCCGCTCGTTTCGACTCGTGCTCCCGCTGAAGCGCTGGCGTCATTTCCCGTGCCATGCCACGGCATGCAATGCAATGCTCGGTTGATACTACGCTTTGCGGTGCTCTTCTACGCCATGCCATGCCGTGCTCTACAACGCATCGCGTACCCTTTCGGGATCATTGCCCTGCTCGACATCCGACTGTGCGAGTAGAGAGGGGATCTGCGCCATGGTAAGGGATGGGAGGGAGGGGTAGGATGTCAGATATGACGCGAGCGCACCTAGCTTGTCCCCCTCCCCCTCTCCCTCCTCCTCCTCCGATTCCTCATCTATCCTCCCCCTCTTGGGGTACGACGTCTTACCCAGCGCATTATTGCACTGCATTCTCCTCCACATCCCTGATCAGGGCAACTCGTCTGGGCTTCGTTTCTGGATGGGCTGATGGGGTTACTTTTTGGTCGGCGGCCGCGCGAAAATGGTCTGGCGGTAACAGGCGTGTCCGGGACGGCGGAAGCTGATGGGGTTACGCGAGGCGTCTAGAATGATTATACGTTGGAGGGACGGTGCTGGGTCGACGTATTCTATCAGCAGCTTGAAAATGACGCTCCGCCGTATTGCACACCTGTCTGCCCAGACTGCGAACACATTCCCGCATTCGTGTCTTTGTTATATATTCTCGATGGCGGGTCGCCTTCTCATAGTCAATCGATTTGCTGACGCTTTTGGCAGCTGTGTGTTGTTGTGGCCGCAACTCGGAGGTCAAAACGGGCGTGGGTTCATTTGCACGCACACACACATACACGGCACACAGCCGATTCCGGAAACTCTGAATCCAAAACTGTTGGCACCTCTTCGGGGCGCATCTGCTTCTTCCGCCACCTTCCGCCGAACTTCCGGCGGTTTTCGTCGGCGGAAGTAGCCTCGCTTTACTTCCGCCGCCTTCCGCCGAGGAAGCGATGGCAACTCCTTCGATCCTCGAAGGCGAAGCCCTGTCTGAAACGTCTCACACGTAAACTGAAGGTCGATGCTGCCTTCACTCGCCGACAGGCCGCCGAGAGGGGCACAAGCGTTCGCATCGGCGACGGCTGGCCAATCGAAAGGTGACGTCTCCGCCCACCGTTCTCTAGGGGTAACGCGGGTGGGGTTCAGCGAAGAAGGGGGTTCGGCGAGTCAGCTAGGGACAATCCTGTAACTTCTTGGTGATAGCCTGGGTTATCTGTTGGGGGTGGGGGGGAGTTGACAGCCGATAACCTGACCATTTTGCTTCGGGCAGCCACACGTATGCCCGCGCGCACCAGAACTGCGTAGCCTCTTCGGACCTGCGCAGCCGACAAGGTCAGGCTATCCGGGGGGGGGCGGGCGGGCCGGATACCCTTGGGTATCGCCCGGCCCTAAAAACAGTCTCCCACATGCAGCTGGTCTCCCAAACGCCTCCAGGTGCCAGGTGCGATCATGTATTCTGGACGCCCGAAATGGGTACGGAAAAAGCGGGTACGATGCTCACAAGCGAATGTTTTCCCAATGCTGTTGGGCAGGCGACTCTTTGCCCCAAGTTGACAACCTCCGCGGCGGCACCAAGAACGAGTCCTGCTCCAAATGGACAAAGACTGCTGTCAGCCTGCATCCAATGCTGTCCGTGTCCATCTCGATTGGCGGAAATTTTGCGGCGGGGCCAGAGCCGGCCGGATGCAAGAATTTTCGCACCCCCCTTCCCCCACTCCAAACATCCGATCTGGTGAGGTTGTGTCGCGACGTGGGTTCCAGGCCTCCTGGCCTCATCGTCGGACCTGAGCCCCAGGGCCTGAGGCGGAAAGCCGAGAACATGGAGCAACCTGCCGACAGGCTGCCTCTTTGAGCATCGTTTAACCGATCCCTATCCCCACTGGCGGGGCCTCGGCCACACTCGCCGATTTACCCCCCCTAGATGGAGAGATTCGGCTGTCCCCTTCGGGTTTCGAGGGGTACATATCCCCAACTAAGGTGGTGGGATCTGATGGGACTCGGCTTGGGGATGGGGACGGGGACACGGATCCGCTGAACGATACTGACTCCCCGCGGCGCCGGAAGAGGTCTGGGCCCTCAGCACCGAGACCGCCTCCCCAGACCTCTGCACGGCTGCGCTCTGGCCAGAGAGACTTCGGGCCGGATCCTGCCGTGGCGACGAGGGCGCCACCGTAGGCCCAAGAAGGCCCAAGAACGTCCGAAAGCCTCCGCCCTCGAACTTAGATTATCTTGGTGGCGCAAGGGGGCTGGGCCAATTCCCCCTCCCCCCCCCCCTCTGGCAAAGACAAGCACTGGTATGCGGTATACCAAGCCCGCGTCTACCAGGACTTCCGAATGCACATGATTCGGATGCATTCGGCCAGACTTCGGACACATCGATCTAGGATGTAGGCGCTCTTCGCTGGCGCCATATGTACTACCGAACGAGTACGTTCGCACTCGTTTGACGGCAAATCAGGCCCCTGTGCGAACGTCTCCTTTCAACCAGTTGCATATACAAGGCTGTTTTGCCCAACTGCCAGGAATCACCCGACAGCCCAAAGGAATCTGGGAGCCTCCCTCGCAGTGAGCGCTCTGGGTTGAAACGACTACAGAGACAGGCAAGATGCCATTGCCTGCTGCATGCTGCATCTGCCCCGTCTCTCTACACAGCGCTTGGGACGGGGCGCGGGCCACTCCTTGGCCAGCAGCTGCCGCCCGAGCTCGGCGTAGTCCTGCCGCGGGGCGCGGCTGGCGCGGAGCCACCGCCCGCAGGGAAGGGTGAGCCCAGACATCTGGCGCCTCGGAAAAAATCGAGACACTGTTTTTCATACATATTAGGCTCTCTGGGCCCTCGCTGGTCCTCGGGACCGTGAAAAAACACATCGGGATGAAACAACAGTTCCTGGGGAGTGGTCGAGAGGTCGGGGGCCCGTGCCTCGAACAAATCTACAACGGCCAGGTGACGTCACCGTAGCGAGAGCCAGTGGGGCTGCAGCAAGCGGCCGCGCGGCGGGCCCGCCAGTGCGAGGGCAGACGCGCCAGGCCGTGCGAGCAGCGGTGGAGGCGCCAGTCTTGCACGACCGTGGCGCGCCCCGAATGCGAGGCGGCTCCCGCGCGCGGTCAGCAGAAGGCTGCAGGACCGCACGTGCAGAGACCCCGTCCCCACCACAGAAAACGTCCAAGCACCTCTGTCCTCCAGGCATAATTATCACCAAGGAGGAAGAAGAGGAGGAGGAGACGTCCGGGCACCTCTGTCTTCCAGGCCGCCCAGCTTTGCGCGCGCCGCGCTCCGCGGTGCCCGACGCGTGGTCGTCCTCGCGCCCTCGCGCCGCCCCCGGGAGAGAGCAGCAGCTCGGCGGCCTACGGCCGGGCGTTTCGCGAAGCGCAAGCCGCAAGCGGCAGCTCTCTCTTCGCGCCCCTTGGGGCGAGCTCCGTCCCTCGACCCTCCCTCGGCAGGTCGACAGCGCGGAGAAGCTGGCCGGGGAACGCCGGGCCGCCTGGCCCGCCGCTCAGGCTGATCGGCCCATCTTGGGAATGCCCACCATCTGCTCCTCCTCCTCCTCCCTCCTCCTCCTCCTCCTCCTCCTCCTCCTCCTCCTCCTCCTCCTCCTTCTGCTGAACCTGTTCCTGCTCCTGCTCCTGATTCTGCTCCTGCTCCTCCTCCTCCTCTTCCTCCTCCTGCTCCTCCTCCTCCTCCTCCTCCTCCTCCTCCTCCTCCTCCTCTTCGAGCGTGACCGATCGGAGGTCTGCCCCGGTCAGCCACAATCCGCCACCGTGCCGCGAGGCACGAGCTGGAGTGCCCTCTTTGTAGTCAGTTCTCAGCCTTGAAGATTTAATGGTACAGTAGGAGCTCGACAAAAACGAAACCTTCCACGAGAAACCCAACCCTGAGACCCCAGGACGTCCATCGATTTTTGGTGTGGGGACGTTATGGTTTCCACAGCAAAACCATCGCAACCCAAGAAACTCAAGGCACCCTGGAGGTAAGCAGGGTGTTTCTTGGCTTGGGGGGGTTCCACTGTGAGGGGCCCGGGCCCGAAACACAGAAGTTTTCCGAGGCTCCTGGCCTGCCTCCCGCGGTTCCCCAAGCGCGTCCCGCATGACTTTTTATTTCCGAGGCTCCTGGCCTGCCTCCCGCGGTTCCCCAAGCGCGTCCCGCATGACTTTTTATCGGAGCCGCGAGCGCCCCCCAAACGGCATGGGGTCGAGGGCCTCAGGCGTGATTCCCCTCGAGGTTACAACTTTTTCGCGACGTCGCATCTCAGAGCCGCGCGCGCGCGAGGCCCAGACACCCGACGTCTTGCTTTTGTTCAACGCGGGGGCGGGGCTTCTCACCCCGGGTCGTCCTTGGACAGTCCTGGGGCCCCGCGAGGGCCCCCCCGAGAGGCCCAAAACTACGAGAAACCTCCGTGCTGGTCTTGATGAAGACGCTGGATGTGCAGGCGATGGGCCTGAAATTTGTTCCCCCAACAGTAATTGCAACTAGGGGCTCTCTCTCGTCCTCTCAGGTAACTGAGCCTGAATGGCGGTCCGGGCGGCATGCGGCCGCCCGTCACCGCCCGTGGCCGCTGCCGTCGCCGCGGATTGCTTGGCATTGCCTCGCATTGCTTCGCATTGCTTCGCATTGGTTTACGGTGCCTTGCATTTCTCTGCATTGCTTTGCATCGCGTCGCAATGCTCTGCATTGCTTCGCATTGCTCTGCATTGCTTCGCATTGCTCCACATTGCTGTGCATTGGGCTGCGTTGCTTTGCATTGCCTTGCTGTGCACCAAACAGATTCTGTGCCACATGGATATCACCACCTAGATAAGAGAGCAGAGAAACCACCCTCATGAAAGCACCCCGACAAGCGAAGCCGTTCAGTGAACGCACCTAAGGAAGGAATCGAACTGAGCAGGGCTGTTTGGTAAACGCCCACGGCCATCTAGTAAACGCCAACTATGGGGGTCGGGGTGGCTTTCCCTCCCTTGATCGATTGCACCCCACTGAGTGCACCACCCAGGCTGCGCCGCATGGATGTTGAGACACCGCTGCTTGGGGCCCACGCTGGCAAACAGCTCTCCGAGCCTGCCTCTGGCACACCCCGAGGTGATTCTCACACTCGGGGGGCGGCCCGGCCCTCCGCGGCCCTCCCCTCCCCTCCCACCCCCTCCCACCTGGCCTTCCTCGCCGCCTCAGCTGCTTCCAGGCAGAGGGGGTCTTCGTGAGGGGATCGCAAAAAACACTTGTTTGGTCGGCGGCGAGGCAGAATGGCTGCACCAGCGATAGCGCTACGTAAACGGGGGCACCGAAAAGCGAATTGGCCAGCGCGCAGGAGACGGAAGAGGACGGACAGGGCGGCCGCGGGGTCGCCAAAACACATGCGATAGTTCGCCCTGTGGCGCAAGGCGTGTGGCAGGCGCGTGCTGAGATGGCACTGTGTGCGCATACCGCGCGAACGGTTGCACGAACTGCTGCGCACCCTCGCGAGACCCCTCTTGCAGAAGACCCCTTCGCCCGCAGCCGACTCGGTGCCCCACTCCAGCCGCAGCAGCCCTGCCGCAGCCACGACCGCAACTCGGATCCGAGGCCCCGTCGATCTACCAAAACGTCTGATCGGGGAGACGTAAGACTCGGGCCCGTGGGACTCGGGTGGGCCTGACGGGGCCATCGATGAAAATGATGAGACCCAATCCTGCAGACATCCCGCGAAGACCGGACCGTCCAAATCCAGGACGCGCTCGTCAAGAAGCGTCGGCACACCCGAGTTCCGGCTTACTCGAGTCCAGCCCCACCTGCAAAAGCAACGCGCCTCCCCCTGCCACCAAGAACTCCCCCAGGACTCCACACCCGCCGGACCGCACAGACGAACGCCCAATAAAAACTTCTCAGAAACGGCAGAGTCTCACTCGAGCCCTACTCTGTGTATAGTTTTGGGGCCCCAGACTACAGGTACCCCCCGGACTACAAGTACCCCTCCCCCGGACTACAGGTATCCTCCCCCGGACTACAGGTACCCCCCCCCCGGACTACAGGTACACCCCCCCGCTTCGAGAATGGTGGCTCTTACGCTAGTTGCACACTATGTATAAGTATCGCAAGTAACATAGCTACTTACATGAGCTACTTATGGGTACTTACTAAGATACTTATAAGTAACTTAAGTTGATGTTCTTAAGTTACTTAAGCTAACACTATAAGATACTTATAAGTTACTGAGGGAAATGAAGCGATCGCGATCGCTTGGGAGGAGGAGGAGGAGGAGGAGAGCGATGTCGATCGCTGTGAGGGGGGGGAGGGGGGGAGGAGAGTGATGAGCGCGGCGGGGCGCGCGGCCTCCTCAGCGCGCGCGGCCGCGTCCTCAGTGTACGCGCGGCCTCCTCACCGCGCAGGGGGCTCACCCTCAGGGGCCGCCTCGCCGCCCTGCCCGTCGCGGAAGGCGGTCAAGCAGATCGCCTCCGCCTCGCTCAACGCCTGCAGCTCGGCCTGCTGTTGGAGCCGCCTGAGGACGCTGGAGTCGTTCCACCCATCCCCGCCCAGGGACGCGAGCAGCTCCACCAGCTCATCCTCGGTGGGAGGGCGCACGGTGGCGCTTTCGAACTCCCACGAACGCTGGACCTCCATTGCCTGCTCCCTCTCGGCCGACGGCTGCAACCTCGAGGCGCGGCCGCTTGGGTGGCGGCGGCGGCGCCGCGTCCTTGGAGGTGGCCGCGACGAAAGCGGCGGGCGACGGCATCTTGAAGAACTTCGCGTTGGCCATATTCGGCCACGGGCCGCCTCGCGGCAGCGGGGCACTGGACGGCTTCGCGCCGACCAGCCCAGGTGGCAGCGGTTCCGAGGGGAGATCGTCCATGACGCGCCCCCTCCTGCGCGCGCGCGCGCCGTCGCTTGGCCGCGAGCGCCCCGTGCGTCACTCGCGAGGCGAGCCGAAACGGCTGAGCACTCGCCGTCATCGCGAGCCCATCGTCGCCAACGCCCGCCCGAGCGATCGCCATCGCTCCACCCATATCCCCACCCGCGCCCGAGCGATCGACATCGCTCTCCTCCTCCTCATCATCGTCATCCTCCTCTTCCTCCTTCTCCTGCCTCCTCCCCCTTCCAAGCGATCGACATCGCTTCGCCTCCCCCAGCGATCGGCGTCGCTCTCTTGCTCCTCATCCTCCTCCTCCTCGCGGCGATCGAGATCGCGAGCCCCCCTGGCTGCCTATGCAAATCCCGCGGCCCCACTGGCTGCCCATGCACATCGCGATCGGCATCGCTACTCCTCCTCCTCCCTCCGCAGCCCCCTGGCTGCCCATGCAGATCCTGCTCCTCCTCATCCTCCTGCTCCTGCTCCTCCTGCTCCTCCTGCTCCTCCTGCTCCTCCTCCTCCTCCTCCGCCTCCTCCTCCTCCTCCTCCAAGCGATCGCCATCGCTACCTCCCCCAAGCGATCGACATCGATATCCCCCCCAAGCTTCTTGTTGGCGCGCGCAGCCTCGCGCCGCCTCACTGCGGGGGCGCAGGCCGCGGCGGCGGGGGCGGCTCAGTCAGGGCGTCCGTGGACGACCCTGGGCGCCCGTCGCCGCCCGTGAGCCCCTCCTCACGGGGGGACCACGGCGGCGGAGGCGGCGTCGTCAGGGCGTCGGCCATGACCACCGCCGACGCCATGGCCGCCTCCGCCTCGGGGGCGTCGTACAGCCTCTGCAGGCGGATGATCGTCATCGCGTCCTGCTTGAGCTGCGCCAGCGCCGCCGCATGCACCGCGGCGCGGC